TATTTGGTTTGGATAAAAATTAGATTTTAACTATGTTTTAATGAAACTTAACGAAATGTGTGATTGAAAAATTGATAAAAATTATGAGTCAGGTAAAATGTTTGATTGAAATGAGTTTGTGGAAAAATGAATTTTAAAAATAAGGCAAGCATGGACTAAAGTAAAAGAACGGACAAATGGATACTGATTCACGATAAATTTTTCTAATCCTTATAGAAGTTGATCTACTTTATCATATTTTGTGAATAGTTGGACCATCAAGAATTATATAAAAAAAAATACGTATAATTCATATGATAGTTCAATATATATCTTTCGAAATAAGGAAAAAGTTTAGGTTTACACGTAAAATTATTTTATAAAAAAATTTACGGGCAAAAAGTGAGATTTGATAATTTGTAGATAATAAGTTATTATAAGTTGGGGATCTTGTTTAATTTGTAGATAATAAGTTAATAATAGTTGTGGATTTTATAAAATACGTGAACAAAAAGTATGATTGATAAGCTTAAATTATAACTTAAAATTTACCAATCATACACTAAATTGTCTACTACTTACTGGATTATTCCTACATAAGGACATTATAAATAATGTAATAGTCCGCATTGATATGGCATACAAATCACGGCTTAGAGTTGTCCAATCTATTCGATCATATACTCTATATTTGAAGTTTGAAATCAACAAGTTTATCTCATTTTTACTAGATCATTATACTTTCAAGAAAATCAAGATACTATCTAAGCCCCTGTTTGTTACCCATTTCTTCTTCATTAAAATGAAAAATCTGATCGTTATTCATCACATTAAGCTACCATATTTGAATTTCTATCTCTTGTGTGTGGTTCATAACAACTATATTTTTCATTCTCATTCTTCCATGAATGAGAAACAAACGGGGCCTAATTCTACATTCAGCCCTCGTTTGGCTTCAATTAAATTTCATTTCATTTTTCTCTCTTTTATTTTTATTCACACAATTTTCTATAAAATAATATTACACGTAAATCGAAAATTTTTCCTTTCTTTTTAACCACCACTTTTCTTCCAATTTTCATTTTTCGAAAATGGGGGCCAAACGGGAGCTCAATATTAAGTCGAGTCAAATTTTATGCAAGACTTAACACGAATTATATTTCCATGTTCAAGTCTAAGGAGGATCAATATTCAAAGGTTCCAACTCTTAAGAAACGAGTCATGACTCATTATTGGTCAGTCAACTCGCTTAGTCTAGTCAATCCACAATCTTTTTTACCCATTTTCCCCCCATAGTTTAGTTGACTAATTCAACAAATTTTCTACCCTTTGATTTCTTCCCCCCCCCCCCCCCCACTTTAATCATAACCAACAAATTTCATGATTAATTCACTAGTGAGATCCACGTGGCAACATATCACCGGTGATACGACATTGTACTCTCAACGGTTGAAGTCAACTCTTTTAAAAGAATCACGTCCGTTGAATATTCTCAAATTATCTGACGGTTCATATGAGAGATACCGGCTATAGTGGGTTCAGTAGGTAAAGCAAAATTTGGTCAACGATTTCACATGTGATGTATACTATTTTTTAGTCAGCTTTTTTTTAATGTCTAATTTATTATTTTTGATGTCAATTTATCGGGAAGAAAGCCTTTTTTCTCGTCTCGTAATTAACACGTGGATTTTATTTACTCCAACATATTTATTATTATTTCCTATTAATATTGATCAAATTCATTCTTTATACATCTATTATTGGCTATAAATTTTCATGATTAAATATTTCAATTGCCACTTAAAATTTTCCAATGTATTTTAAGAGCGATTCAAGTTGCCATTGAATTTTCTCAAATGTTTCTCAATTGTCACTGTACTTTAAAAGCTTTTCGAGTTGCATTGAACTTTCCAAAAAAATTCTCAGTTGTCATGGACTTTAAAAACTCTTCGAGTTGTCCCTGAGCTCACTAAAATGATATCGTGTCTGTTATTTCATTGCTCATAGTTTTTAAAATGAATGGACTAGATGACATGGTAGGTGGAATGACGAATAAAATAACTTTGGATAAGTTCATCGAGTCAGTTAACTTTTAAAATAAAGAGCGACGGATTGGCAAATAGGATAACATTTTAGTAAGTTCAGTGATAACTCGAAAAGCTTTTAAAATTTAATGGCAATTGGGAGACATTTAGAAAAGTTCAATGGCAACTTTTAAAGTTCAGTTGCTATTTAGATGCTCAACCCAAAGATTGACAACAATTGATTGATTTATTTTAGTTTATTTATTTTTTTACTTTGGTCTGTGTAAGCCCTTTTTTTGTGAAAAAATAAGTTTTGTAATGACATTTTTCAAGAATGCGTGGTTAAAAAGTATGAAAAATTTTGAGGCTACGTGTAAAATTATTTTATTGAAAGAATATGTTGTTGAGAATGAGTTCGGAGAATGAGATTTTAGAAGATGAAGCTTAAATAAGGACTTTATTTTATTCTAAAAATATATTCAATGTAGTTGATTATCGTTAGATTGTAACCGTTTGTCCCGAATTTTTGTCCTGGCTAAATACAAACAATCAAAACTACAAACAAGAACAATTTAAATAATTTTCCATTCTCCTCCAAAATTTATTTTAAACAGACCTACAAGTAAACAATAACAAATAAATTATTTCATTGTACGTCTAATTGTTTTTAATGTACTTGTCCCGACATAATATAGATGAAAAATGTTTTGTGAAATTTTACCCAAAATAATATGTTGATCTTGAAAAATACGCTAAAAGAATTTCAGCCACCACCCCTCCACTTAGATGTTACCCGCGCACTCAAATAACCCACTAGAAGGCAAAAGTCGTCGGTCAAGAAAAAGGTTTAGTGATCGTTTACACTCCAACGATCAAGTCAACGATCATACGAAAGAAGAACGAGTGCAAGAGACGGGAGATGGAATTTGGCTAGAGTTAAACTAACATATTGATTGCAAATGAACTCACATATATATAGGGAAGTGTGTTAATGGGTTTCAAGCACAATATAAGGTTATTTGATTAATTAGTCCAATACAATTGAATAACTGATGTCAAGTTGACATATGCAGAACTCCCTCTATCATTTACATGTCATGTAATTTATATGTATAACATAATCAATATAAGAAACTCAAGGAAAGAAATCTATGTGATATATGTGTGAATAATTTTGTTAAATATGCTATGTTTCAGAACTTCTAGTAAAACTGCTATTAGTATTTGAGCTAGGATTCTTAGTGCTACAAGATGACATAAATGACTTTTTTTCCAACTGTTTTGAAAGAAATTTTAGCACTTCCTACTACAACTATTATGAGAAAATTTTAGAATGTGCACAATTTTTAGTGTAATGACCCGTCATTTATGCCTATCTTATAAAGAAATTCACGTAAATATCACAATGTGTTACAGTATTTCGAAGGGCGAATCCAAAGAGGAGCTAATGGTAGCACAAGAACACCCAAAAATAAATAAATAAACCTTTCTAAAGGTGCAATAGAAGCTTGAGCAAAGGGCTCGTCAAAGGACCGACATAAAAATAAATAAATAAATAAAAATAGCCCACCCAATTTTAAAATTATTGCCCGAAACTTAGTTTTCTAATTGCAAGCTTGCTTCTTTTCGATAGTTGAATGCCAATGAAGGAGATGCATTGATGTGTCTCGACATCACCTTCGTGAATTTTACGTAATATTTATAAATTCTTTCCAAAATTCTATTAAACCCAACAAAATTATCACCAATAAATATTTTAAAAACAGAAAGAAGATATTTACTATGATTTAATATTTAATTAATAAAATACAAAAATTGCGAGTTAATTTCGTACTCATCTTTTTAGGATTTTCATATACTTCCTAACATTATTATGTCGACTAGCTTCACGATTTGAACATTGCATGCTTGGTAACACCTCTATTTTTAGATTGCCATAACCCCCATTCAAGATATTTGTAATTAGTGATGGCAAAAAAATTCACCCCGAATGGGCTGGCGAGGGCTTGTCCCTCCCTGAACCCGCCCCGTGAAAATTAAAAATAATTTTATTTCTAGACAATTCATCCATTAAAAATTCATTTTGAAATTTGTATTTTATTCTCTAATAATAATATAATTTGAAACTTTGATAATCTTTGGGCAAAAAAATATTTTTTAATAGTGATTTTTTAAAGAACATGTTATTAAAAAGTATGAAAAAAATTTGAATTTACGTATAAAATTATTTTATGAAAAAGTGTAATTAAAAATGAGTTTTGAAAAAATAAATCTCAAGTATGAGCTAAATGTATAACAAATTTATTTTCTGAACACCCGACTACACTAGACAAGAGGGTCTTTCTTTTTACACTGTATATACCTTCCCCCCACCCCGCACCCCAAAAAAAAAAAAATGATATGCTCGTAGTTTTTTTTTCAATAAATTAAAAACCAATTTGCTATTTAAAAAGAAAAGAAGAAGAAGCTATTAATCTTTTTTTTCCCTAATAATTTATACACAAATCTCATATGAGATTGCCATAATCCCAACCACAATAATTAATATACGTTACAAAGTTAATTAATGTTACAAGTTGGGTGCCTAAGGATATCCTAATCACCACTTTGTCTTTTTCTCACCAACTCTGTAATCTCGCCAGCGTTTTCTTTTCAACTTCACGAGAAATTCACTTTCATATATTCATTATTTTCAAAGTTGGGCCCCACAAATTTTCCTTACTCAAGCACCCCCAATCACCCCATTTTCACTACAATATTATTTGTACTTTATGCACTAAGAAATGTACATTATGCTGGAAGAATAGAATTTGACGCTGGCATTATCAATTCCTAATACTTCCGCAATTAGGCCCCACCCAACATACAAAGGCCTCTATTTTGTCTCATACTGAGAATGCATTGAAGTCTTCAAAACAAATCTCAACCGTCCGATTAAACTCATCCAGTCTTCCGGTCATCCTCCCTCTTCTTTATATACCAACCCACCCCAACACACCACTGCAATTTTCTATCCATTTTCGCTGAGTTTTTTTTCTTGATTTGGTTTTTGGGTTGTAATTTTCTGATGTGGGTTCAGTAAATCTTCAAATTTGATTGGGAAGTTTTTTTATTTATTTATTTTTTCCCCTCTCTTTGGAGGAAAAACGGCGGTGGAAATGATGGGGTATGGTGAAATGAACGAGCAAGTGGCGTTGCAGGAGGCGGCGACGGCGGGTTTGAAATCCATGGACCATTTAATCCGGCTGGTCTCTCACCAGGAACAACAAAACCCGCAAATCGACTGTACAGAAATAACTGATTTTACTGTTTCTAAGTTCAAAAAGGTTATTTCTATTCTAAATCGATCTGGCCATGCCCGATTCCGCCGTGCTCCGGTTCAAACTCCACCACCGGAGCGGCTCACTTTCGTTGAAAATCATAATTTTGCTTCTGGGTCTAGTCAAATGCCTCCAGTCTCTGGGATTAATAAACCTCAGCTTCAGGATCTTAATCTCAATCTTTTCCCTGCAACTCCGGCGGCTGCGGTGGTGCCAGAACCAGCATTTACCCTTGATTTCATGAAGCCAAGCGTGGTCGGTTCCACGCCTTTTGTTAAAGAGATTAGTAATGACTTGAAGAGCAAGGACGGTTTCAGTTTATCGGCGGCGATGTCAACGTCAGGAAACTCGTCGACGACGTTTGTTTCGTGTATAACCGGCGACGGGAGCGTGTCAAACGGCAAAGGTGGGTCGTCCTCTATGTTTTTGGCTCCTGCAGGCCCTTCTATTTCCGCCGGAAAGCCTCCACTATCCGGGAAGAGGTGCCGGGAGCACACAAAGTCAGAAAACGTCTCCGGCCGGTGTCATTGCAAGAAGAGGTGCGTATTTTAGGCAATTAAATAAAAAAATTATTTAATTTTCCTGAATTTTAAACCTGCTAAATATTTCTCATGCTAAAATCCGATTTTGTTGACTTTTTATTTTTTTTTAATTTTTAGTTATTATATATTATTATGAAAAAAGAAAAGTCGTGGTCTAACCTAGAAAAAGCCAAAAGAAGTCTGCCCACGGGCAGACAATAGCATCCTAAGTTGCCGTGATAACGTCAATTGCCTGTGACCAAAGTCGTGCGTGACAGTTACGTTGTACGAAAATGTTTCTATATCGACTGTGGCGTTCGTTAGAGGGCTCGGCGTAAAATTTTGACTCTCTGAGTCTGTCGTTTTCTTTGTTGGACTCGGCGCACATTAGAATTAGGCCCGTGCGTATGCGCACGTTAAGAACTAGTTAAATCATTGTGCAAATAAATTTCTTTTTTGGGTCTAAAATCAAAATACAAACTTAGGTAGCGTTCACTAATCGAGTTGTCACAATTGTAACACGTAATTTAAATACATGTTAAGACCATTTTTACATTGAAAATTCATTAATTATGTATCGATTGGACAGGAAATATAAGGTGAAGAGGACGATTAGGGTCCCGGCCATTAGCTCAAAAATCGCAGATATTCCCGCGGATGAGTACTCGTGGAGAAAGTATGGTCAAAAGCCGATCAAGGGCTCGCCATTCCCGCGGTAATTTTTATGCAACCATCAATCGTATTGTATGATGACGACGATTTTGTACAACCATTTCACGAGATTGATGTAACCTTTCTTGTTGTTTAGGGGTTACTATAAGTGCAGTACCGTAAGGGGATGCCCGGCAAGAAAGCACGTGGAGAGGGCCACAGATGATCCATCGATGTTGATCGTCACTTACGAAGGGGAGCACAGGCATACACAACATGCAATGCAGGAGAGGACAATTGCGGAGGGTGGTCAATTCGTCGCGTTCGAGTCGACATGAGAAGCGAAGAGAAAAATGTAAAAGTGAGATGAAAAATTGGGGCTTTTTGTAAGTTTAGGTAGTTGGAGGGGATATAGCAAAGGTTCTTGTAAAATTGGTTGGGACAGGTGAGGACCATAATCTTAGAACAAATGTTCAATTTTTACTTTTTTTTATGATATTTAGTTTAATGGATCGTTCTTTTATTGAATTACTAACTGAATTGTCTTGGTAATTTCAAAACTAATATTTGTTTTCTATTTATATCATAGCCTTGTTTGAGCTGCATTATTTTAAAAAATTACAAATTTTAACAGTAATTTGACATTATTTCATTAGACATTCTTCAATAAAATAATATTATTATATGCAAATATAAAATTTTTCCTTTATTTTTTAATCACATATTTTTTTATCAATCTATTATTTTATAATACATTTTTTAAAAATAATATGGCTCAAGCATCCACTATTTATTACTTTTTTTTTTCACTTTCTGAAGCCATTTTGTTGCAAGTCAAGAACAAGACTCCATTCACACACTGTTACAAAACTGACTGAATCAACAAGGTTACTTCACATCATCGAGAAAGGTCAAAAGGGCAAATACTAATGGTTCAAATGACTTTTTATTGACCAATACTAATGGTTCATTTGACCAAACGGGGACTAAAACTTTAGAATAGTTTTTGAGCCTTATAAATTCTTCAAAATCATGTCAATTGACTCCTAATAACATATAGTAGCACCCAAGCTTGTATCAATTGCATTGAAGTGCATCCTCTTGGTCATCATATGCAATACCCATACCGATTGCCTCGAAGATGCACTCTATCTTCTTTTCCTTGAGAAAAACCATATGGACAGAGGATGGAGGCAGGATTTGGGACAGGGGCACCTGTCCCCATCCCTGTCCACGAAGCAACGTTCCTTTTCCTTTTGGTTTTGGTTTGGACAAGATGGTTGGGCCAAAATTTTTAATTTTTTTTCTTATTAATATGTATTTAATTATTTTAAGTGTGATTCATTTGTACTTTCCAAAAGTTATGGGGTTTCATTCGTAATTTTTGTTGTTTTATTAAGTTGAACTCCATCATTAATGAGCAAAATGAAATCAACGAATAGTTTTATTACATAATTGAAAGGTTCCGATGGATTATGCTAAAAAAGATTGAGAGTATATTTGTTACATTACAAAAGTTGAGAACTTTCAAATTTTCCTTTTGATTTGATACCTACTTTGATGTATAAAATATAAATCATGTCCGCTGAATATTATTTTATTCATTTTTTTTCTGACTTATTTTTAATTACATGTTATTTAAATAAAATTATTTTACACATATAAACTTATAAAAATCCCATTTCCCAAAAATATTTTAAAAAAATAAAACGTGAACCAAGAAAGTCAAAGGAGTTGTGCATGAATGGGGTTGGAATTTGGGAACAGCTGGACTTCACAAAATGCTATTTGACCAATCATACGGAAGTGCTTGGTTTACAGCTTTTTTTTTTTTTAAACTGTACACCTTGCGGCACCCTCACAATGAGGGAACAAGTCAAATGATTCGCGCCATTGACACTCCGGTGATTGCACACTCACATGATCGACGTGGGTTCTTCATGAATAAAATAATTTCAACCTCCAATGTGTGTGTATTATGTCAATCGTGTGGTCACTCACGTGGACTATGTAACTCGATCCCACAATGAGAGGGCTCACAATTGTTTTATTCATGTGGGCTCCCTCAACATGTGAAGGAGCTGTACATCATGGTGTACAAGTGATTTTTCTTTATTTTATACCCATTTGTTAATTATAGTTTTCAATAAATTATATGATGAATTTTCTATTTTTCCTACCTTATATATGAGTTTTATGTTCAAAATATTCAAGTTTAATAGTAAGCCAAGGAAATATACAAGGAAGTAAATGTACAAAACTAAAATTAACAATTTTCAAGCGTTAATCACAATAGAGGTCATCGAATTTTTATCATACTTGCACTCATTATTGAACTTCAATTTAAAACAATCAAATTACTAAACTTTAAACTAGAAATTTAATTAGGTCACTCCATTTGCCATCCGTTAATATGGCAACCAGAATTATTTGGCATTCCGTCGAATCTATCGAAATGTTTGTGTCTATCACAATCAACAGATTATAACATGAAAGGTCTCTAAACATTAATCTTGACTGCAATCGAGCAGTTGTTTGAGCCTCATTTTTGCTCAAAATGCATTTTAGAACAATTACAATTTGAATAAAATAGATCTTGTACGTCAGTTGATGTACAAGACTAGTTTTATCTACTCCAAAAGATCTATTTCATTTCAATTGTAACTTTTTTTTTGAACCCTATAAATACAGGGCATTGATTCTTAATAAAATACAGGTTTATTGGTCTCTCTTTTGTCATATCATTTTTCCTAATTTATAACACGTCAGAAGCACCATTTTCTCAAAATTATAGCAATTAGTTTGAATGTAATCTATAGCTAATCCCAAATTATGTATGTTATTTTTTATGTAGCTTACATGTATATTTAACTTCTATGGATTGATTTCTGTCCAATTAATTTTCAGTGTCACATAGCAAATTGATTTTTGCCCAATTTTCTTTATGTCCAAATTTTTGAAATCCAATAACCAAATTGCGCATGTCCAATCATCATATGATAGAATAAGCAATCGTAACTATGCATATCCAATCGCCACAATCAATTTTTTTGCTTCTTTCGTGTCGTTCAATTAATTGCTTTGTTAATGTTCTTTTTAATATGAATATACTTTATGAATTTAGGGGGTGTTTGAGTCACATTATTTTGGTAATAATGCATTCTTGAATAATGTATTGGTGGGAAATGTGTGGTTAAAAAATAAGGAAAAGTTTTTGATCTGTGTGTAATATCATTTTATTGAAAAATGTGTAGTTGAAACGATATCAAATCACTGTTTAAGAATGTATTTTTTTGAAATAATGTGTCTCAAACAGGCCCTTAATATTCGTATATTTATCTATTATAAAATGTTATTATTCCTAAGTAGCACGCTGATATGAATGTTCTAGTTAGATTTTACTTGTTGTTTTCAATAAATTATATGATGAATTTTCTATTTTTCCTACCTTGTATTTTAAATTCATGCTCAAAATACTATTCAAGTTTAATAGTAACCCAAAGGAAACATATAAGGACATATGCAAAACTAAAGTAAAAATTAACAAATTTTCAAGGGTTAATAACAATAGAGGTGATCGAAATTTTATCATACGTGTACTCAGTATTGAACTTCAATTTAAAACAATCAAATTACTATACTTTAACCTAGAAACATAATTAGGTCACTCCATTTTGGTATCCATTAATATGTCAACCATTGTAAGTTGGCATTTCGTCGAATCTATCGAAACGTCTGTCTATCACAAACAACATATTAATAACATGGAAGGTCTCTAAATGTTAACCCTAACTGTTATCGAACACCTTTGTTCAAAATGCATTTTAGAATAATATTTTGATGAATAATTTGTGGTTAACAAATAAGAAAAAAATTTATATTTACGTGTAATATTATTTACTTAAAGAATGAGAGTTGAAAATAAGAAAGAGAAAAATGTATATTGAAAATAATGAGGACCAAACAATGACCGAGTTACTATACTTTTTAATTTGGAGCAATCAAGTTATACATCATTCAACACCCAATTAAATCTCTTCAAAAAAGGGCGATCATGACTTAGAAATGATTACATGATTGGCTGAACTCAACACCCAATTAAGGGGGTGTTTATTTTCCATTTTTGTAAAAATGAAAATGAAAAATATAATCGTTATGTGCCCCCACACAAGAAATGGAAATTCAAATTTGGTAACTTTATGTGATGAATAACGATCATATTTTTCATTTTAATGGGAAAAGAACGAAAAACAAACAAGAGCTAAATTACTTCAAAAAAAGGGCGATGACATATAAAATAAGGTCAACACTGTAACTGGACGAAACAAAAATGACAAGCTCTTGATTAAAAGGCCTATTAAATAGGGACAATGTCGGAGACAGCTAAAACACTCTTTATAAGACTCCCCGAAAAGGGCCAAGCTAAGCAATTCATTGTATGCATTGCCGAGCTACGTCACTCCTTGTAAAACACCACAAATCACTTCTTAATATGAATCACTTTTTCCTTAACAATATTCCAACAGTTATATATATTTTACTAAATTTCTCTTTAGATTGTTTGAGGTCTACAAATAGGCATTATTCCACGTCTCCCCCAAATCGAAATTATATATCTCCAACGTAGTCATGTCTCTTCCACCCTCTTGGTCACTCCGCTTGAGAAATTTTGATGAAAACTTTCTTGTTTGGCCAAAATTCTCACAACAGAGAATTAATATATTACTCCATAAAGAATAAAATCAAGCTATCTGTACATTAAGTTTGACATCTTTGTTGATAGATGAGTAATGCGACAAGATTGTAATGGTTGTATTAAATATGTGAGATGTGAAAGATGGTATGAGATTATGTCAATTGTAGATTTGATAAGTCTCGGAGTATAAACCAGGATGTTCATCCATCATATAGCAAGATTGTAAATAATATATGTGCTTAGGATCAACAAATTATAAGAATTTCAACTTAGCTTGTGACGAAGAAACTTGCTAAAAATTGTGATCAACCTCCGTCTTTAACTTTTTCAGGAGTTCATAAGTCATCGACATAAATTCCACCATACCATGCATCAATGCCCATGTACAAGTTTGTGGACTCGCTAAGATAATACATCATCTACCAAGACAACTTATTGTCATGCCATAAAGATGAACGTATTCTTCCCTAAAAAGTATAGTTGTCTCATTTAGAAAGTGACAAACTATTAGCGTAACAATCAAGATCTCCATACACTAATATCCTGCAAATTTTGAACTTGCTATACCTTTTGGATGATTTTTATTAAAGTGTTCAGGTTGTTTAGTCTACCGAAAAATGAGGGTTGATATATATAAAACACAAAGAAATCGATGTGTTAATTCTCTCATAAATTTATCCACGTCACCTAACTTGTATTTTCTTTGCTCTTACACTTCGAACAACCCGAGTCCCTGATATCACTTTTTGGAAATCGAGACATTTCAAACTGAAGAAAAGTCACTGACTGTTAAATATAGAAACATTCCACTAGATAAATTTTTTCATAAAATCATATAAATTTTCTAAAGTTTCACTTCAAGAAAGTTCATGACTATTTTACGAAATGAAATAAATAAAACACAAAGAAAATGATTCTAACAGTCAAGTTACAGATAGAAACATTAATAATCTATTCTATTTGAAATAGAAAAACTCGATCATATTTTAGTTAGACACTACTATGTCAAAATTCTAACATTTTCACCATTGCATATTCACACGTCAAATTCGAGGTCATTATTTCATCAATCTTTTCTGCAGTCCCTTTCCTTTTTCCTTTTCCTTTTTTTTTTCCCATCAACATATCGATTATCTTGTATTTTTACATTAGAAAGTTTTTATTTCTTAAAATTTATAAAAACGACAAATGCTTCAAGTGCTTCGAGACACATCTTCAACACCCAACATCATAATCTAGAATACACATTTTTTTTTTAATAATGTTACTTGTTATTAGTAGAAATTATCACAAATGAAGGTAATAATGAACCTTTAATTTATTGATCAATATATTAAAATTAAAATGAAACATAATTTTGTTGGATAATAAATTAGGGATGCTCCACCAATTTTTATTAAAAGTAATGTTATTTATAGTTGCTCATTGCGGTAGTCAGGGGCGGGCACGGAGAAATTGAGTTAGGGGGACACAATCAAATTTTGTACAAATCGAATACTTTGTTTTTTATTTTTAAATGATTCATATTTGACCTAAAAAAATTTAGATTTACATTTCAAAAATATTTTTTCATTAATATTTTGCTAATCATTTTCATCTATTTGATTTTGAACAATAACTTTATTAATATTTTGCTCATTACAAGAAAATGCACATTTTAAAAAGTTGTGTATTTGATACAAGTAATCAATTCAAATAATCGAAAGAAAAACAAATAACTAATATTCGATACTAATAATCAGTCAAATAAACACAATTCATTATATATAAGTTAAATTTTATATAATTAGTTTAGATAATGCTATATACAAAAATAGGATAGGAGAAAATACAAATTTAGATTCTAATCAGTGGAAAATTTGATTGAAAAATGAAAATTTCTAATAGATATGATAATTGTAGAGAAATTATAAACAAATTTTAAAAAAATTAGAAGAGTTAAAATTTTGTTAAAAGGTTTGAGAGAGAAAATATGATATAGCAATGAAAAAGAGAGAAAATTCAAATTTATCGTGATTCTGTTACTGTTTGATGGGAATTAAAGTCTGATTTTTAGTAAATTTTGATAAAATTTTAGAAGTTAAGGAATTCAAGAAATATGTTAATAAAACTAATTATTAACTTTGATTTACATTAAAATTTAAATTTCAATCGATACCAAACATGGCTTTATATATATTAAAAAAAAATGATCTCAAAAGTTGGGGGGTCAAGTGACCCCCCCATTGGGTCCGCCCATGGCGATAGTTGCCTTACATGACAAATTACATGGCAGTTTGTGATTTAATATATTAATATGATAGTTTTTTTTTTACTTCATATATCAAATCACTAACCATCACATGTATGTTACGTAGGACAATCGCGATAGTGAGTGATTGTAAATAGTATATTCTCTAACGAATGATTAACTCTACTTTTTAATTCCCAATTAACTACAAATTGACCATAATTTTTTGAATGAGTAATTAGCACAAAATGTCCCTTATCTTCCAGTATTATTGTGCAAAACGTCCTTATCTTTTATTTTTTGACATTTTTACCCTTGCCTTTACCTTTTATTGGGAAAATCATCATTTTCATCAAATTTCTCATGTAAAATGACAAATATACGCCCTAATTAAATAAAACAATAAAAAAGAAAATAAATTCTTGATGACAATAATCAAAATAAGTTTGATAGGGATTTCAATCTGTTTGATACCTAAAAAAAGAGCTTGCATGTAAACTTCGGAGTATGAAGGAAAGAAATGGAGGATAATCTAGTTTATTCAGTACCTGATATTTAAATGTGAAAAGCAATTAGAATATGCAGAGGTGGATAAAAGAACCTTTGCTTTTAATGATTTGGACATTAGGATAACAGAAATTTTCATCTGTTAATGAAAAAGCTGTGTAAATTTTAGAAAATATCCTTCACATTCAAAGAAATGTTTTATTCTTCCTTGTTTCCTGTGACTGTTACAGTGAACAAAATGATTCTTTTTTTTTTTTCCATTTTTTTTCCTTATGATGTTCCGTCTGTGGGCTGAAAGTTACCTTTGAGGATATGTTCCTTTAGAATTTAGTTGTTTCTGCCACTATTTTCTAGTTTCAAGTAGAATTGGTGAACCAGTGCTTATGATAAAATATATCCTATAATTATAAAATTCTTCACTAGTTAACTGTACATCCATTTGTTTTGGATACTTTTATATTGAGAATCATGTGTTTTAATTCACTAAATATTCGTTGAAATGTTGTCACTAAATACTTTTATATTATTATTATTATTTTTTTTTTTTTTTTATCAAAAATCCTACTATGTATAAATGGCTAAACCAAATAGATCAAGTAACTTGTAAGTCAAATGTAAGCTAATTTCTCATAACATTTTATGATGTGCCATATATGGTTAAAATTATCAAAACGCATTTCGGGAATATATTTGACCAGAAAGCACAGATATTTTTTTCCCCTTTCCATTGGAAAGTCCGGAAGCTTTCTTATGTTGGCTTCTTCTAGTTTCTTATGGTATTTGTTTCAACTTTGGAATGATAGTCAATTTCATTGCAAAGCTATACTTCTAGAAGCATGAAAGTGATAGGTGCTTCCATTGTAAGTGGTCTGGATTGGGCTTATAGAATAATTTGAATGTAATGTATAATTGGTGATTAACCCTGAGAACTCATAGAATTTGTAAATGTTTTTTTGTTACATGCTCTTGACTAGAAAATGTGAACATAAAATGATACTAGAAGAGCATAGTATTAACAATGGTTGTTTGCCACACCAGTCCACATTATTATCTTACATTTATTTTCCTTACTTAAAACAAGAGAAGTTGGTGCTTAAAATTTCTCTACAACAAGGACGACATAGAATTTTTCATTATATTCACTCACTTTCTCTTCCTTTGGTTTCTTACAGATCTGACAGAGAGTTTCTTTACCAAATTCTGGGAGAGGTTATTAAGGCTGGGGCAACAACTCTTAACATCCCTGATACAGTAGGCTACACTTTGCCTACTGAATTTGGGCAGCTGATTGCTGACTTAAAAGTCAATACTCCTGGCATTGAGAATATAATTATATCTACACATTGTCAGAATGACCTGGGACTTTCTACTGCTAATACTTTAGCGGTTGGTATTTCTTTTTGCTGTGTTCCAAGCTTTTTACATAACCCACTTCAGCTAGTGCTTACATTGGAACTCATTTTTCTAAGGGGGCATGTGCTGGTGCAAGGCAAGTAGAGGTGACCATCAATGGCATTGGTGAAAGAGCTGGTAATGCCTCATTAGAGGAGGTGAGTGGTCCTTTTTGGCCACGGATTTCCTTCTTTTTTGTAACCCTTTTACTGCAAACAGCAGAAACTCACTCACAATTGATCTATGAGCATGTTTGGCTCAGCTTAAAAATTACAACTTTTTTCTATTTGTAACTTATAAAAAGTTGACTTTACTACCAACAAAACTTGCTTTTCTAGAAAGTAAGCCCTTGTTTGAGCCTCATTATTTAAAAACTCATTTTTTGCTGAACTTATTTTCAATCCTACATTCTCCAAATAAAATAAATCTTCATATAAGCCTAAAACTTTTCCCTACGTTTTAAATACCTTCTTAAAAAAAAAATCACTATTACAAAATCTATTCTCCCAAAAAATGGGGCTCAAACAAACCTCAAATAATAATTTTATTTTCTTGAAAAGTAACTCTTCGGCTTAGCCTAACATGCTTTATATACTCCAAATATCCTAAATATTTAAGAGCTGTTCCTATTACCTTTGTTCTTAGTCGTCCTTCTCTGCTAAATTCAGAATTATTGTGAGAACTATTATTATGGGTGAATAGTTAGTAACATATTTTTAATAAGAAATTAGTGTATACTTCTTTGCCTCGTTATTCGTAGGATTATCTCTAAGAGGGTCATTGTGTCTGGTCAGACACCAAAATATTTGAAACTCGTTATGACTATTACCTCAAATTTTCTCCTTCTCCCTTCAACATTACCTTCTATATATTAATTGATATTTAACATTCAACGCTTATAAGTCGTTCTTTTTTTTTTTTTTTAATTTAGATGATTGCTTCTTACTTTCTCATTACAGGTTGTGATGGCCTTCAAATGCCGTGGAGAGCAAGTACTAGATGGTCTTTATACAGGGATTAATACACAACATATTGTTATGGCTAGCAAGATGGTGCGGTCTCCTAAGAATACTTTGAATTTAATGTAGTTTTTCTTGATTTAATTTGTTTCTATTGTAACTAAGTTTACACTGTTTCTAGGTAGAAGAATATAGTGGGCTGCGCGTGCAGCCACACAAAGCAATTGTTGGAGCCAATGCCTTTGCTCATGAGAGTGGTATCCATCAGGTTCATGTTGCAAGCTAATATATCTGGATACATTACTTTGGCCTAAGAGCTTTAAACACTTTGCTTTGATTGTGCTGTGTCTATTTGGCATACCATAGCCATTTTAATTTGTTGGAATTTGTAAATCCATATTCTATTCTTAGGAACTTATTTAATTCTATTTATCATTTTATGGAGTTGTAGACTATTGGGCTTTTTTCTTCCTAAAAAGAATAACAAAACAATAAGAGAAGGAAACAATGCGGGAAAACATAAACAAAGTATGTCACTATGTCTTGTGCGAACCTACCCATTAGGGTCACATCTCATTGGGTCAGGACATAGTGACCTAAGCAATGATGAATGATAGGAACAGAATCTAGCAGACAACACATACTTAATGCTTCACTTGATATTTGTTCTTTTCCCCTACTTAGTTTTAAATGGTATTTCATTTCCCTTATCTTTTAAATGTATCCATTTTCTTGCTCAGTCGAAACACTATTTTGTAGTTTGTTTAACTGGTCGACTGTTGAGTCCACCTTTTGAAACTGTTGCTACTTATTCCCCTGAATCCTTTCTCCTTTTCCTATCTTTAACATTTTTCTAGGACGGAATGCTTAAACATAAGAATACATATGAGATTATATCTCCTGAAGATATTGGGCTTCTTCGTTCTAACGAATCTGGTATCGTCCTTGGAAAACTGAGGTATGCTGAAACGTTCCTTTCGTGTTTGCTTTGGTGTTGCTTATAGACTCTTGCAAGCTTAGCCAAACATGCTCTGTATTCTAGTTTTTCAGATTTTTTTTCTTCTTTTTACTTTTTCTAATTTTAATTGTATGCTGGATTTATACGTTCTGTTTATCAGATATAGTAGTGTATTAGCTTCTTGTATGGTGTCATTGTCTTATTTGCAGTAAAGTTGGGATATTTTAATATGTTGAGCCTGTCAATCTTAGTGACTTTTGAAGGTTCCTCCATCTTGTTGCAATAGAAATAAACAAAGACAAATAAGTTTTAGCTAATGTAATAAAGATTCTCAATTATTGTTCCAATGTTGCTTGGACAACAGAAAGAGCTGCAGGCTTATCTGTACATTGAATCGTATTGCCCGAAGGTGTGCATTCATGTTCCCATGCTAAAGTTTAAATCAATTCCTGCCATTATCCATGCCAAGTAATTAAGAACATACTCAGTTAATAATTTTTTTTCCCTGGCCGAAAAGATTATTGTTTGCATGAAGCTTCCTTATCCTTCTTCTGGGAGGAGAGAAGAATTTTTTTCCCCCTTTTTTCCCTGAAGGCCATCTGTCTAAGAAATACTGCTATCTTGAATATTTCTGAGATGAAAACTGAAGTTTTTCCTTGATATTATGTGCCACCTGGGCATTATTCTCATGGCATAAATTTTTCACCATTTCCATTGTTGTCGTTAATCATTGTCCGTCTCTCTATGGTGCTTCTGGATGTTTGACTATGTGGATATAATTTCTGAATGTTGTTGACCCATTTTGGAACAACTTGCAGTGGACGCCATGCTTTGAAAGCCAAAATGTTGGAGGTAGATTTTGAATTTGATATTATTCATGAAGGATTGGTATAATGTTGGTTATTTTCTTCTATGCATCAACTTGACTCTTTGAACACAATCACAGCTTGGTTATGACATTGATGGAAATAAACTTGACGATCTGTTTACACGTTTCAAAGCTGTTGCAGGAAACAAAAAGGTTGATGAAATATCCAGGCATTTTTCTTGCTTTCATATGGGCGATTGTTGGTGTTGGGACGTTCATACTTATCTGTTTAAATTCGTTACTGATGATGCAGAATATCACTGATGATGACCTCATCGCCCTGGTGTCAGATGAAGTTTTCCAGCCCCAAGAAGTATGGAAACTTGGAGATGTACAGGCATGTCTACATTCTAAATGTTTTCAGCATAACATTTGATCATTTGATTTAACTGGAAAAGGATGATTCCCCTCAATTCACTTGGTATATGTGCAATGGAAAGGTTACGTGTGGAACGCTTGGCCTTTCTACTGCAACAGTGAAACTCATTGATGATAATGGTGAAGAACATATTGCTTGTTCTGTTGGAACTGGGCCAGTTGATGCAGCATACAAGGCGGTTGATCTTATTGTAAAGGTTTGAAATTCACAACTTGAAATTTTATTTGATTTCTTTGGATTATTGCTAGTATATCTAAGTATCTGAACTCACCTGTATGTTTCTATAATGCTAAATAAATCAAGAGGTCTTCACAGATAATTGAACACGCAAAGCCTGATCTAGGTTATTCATGTTAACCTGTATTTGTTAAAAAGTCACCGTGACATCACATTATTTGTGTATTATTTCTTTCTATATTTTGTTGGTGTGCGTGTGCAAGTTGAATTTATTTGACCGCACCACATTTCTTGTTAACATTTGATGATTTGACCACTTCCCCGTGTAGTATGTTTGGTATGGATGATAGTAGCAGAAAGTATCCAGGAGGAAAAAGTTTGTAAACTCTTGTTCATTTTCTTGTGTACTCCAATTCAGCATTGGGTACCAAACATGCCCGTGTCTTGTAAATCTTGTTAGATTATCCAACCGAACAAAAAATATATTACGTGGAATAGCTTCAACTATTTAAAGCTTTTCTCAAAACCCGTCAAATATCTGGCATGCTCCCAAAAATGCTTTTTGAGTATTAAAATGCAAATCTTGGTGACAAAATTGATGAAATAGACATGCTATTCCAGAGGACAACTTCTCCACATTTGGTTTCTAGTGAGAATGCTCATTGTTGTGTTCTCTCATATACATACTAGATTCTGTCAGGTCCGAGCCATTATTTTTCATCCTTTTCATCACTGTGTAGGTTCCTGTAACACTCGTGGATTATTCCATGAATGCTGTCACTGAAGGTATTGATGCTATAGCCACCACTAGAGTTCTAATTCGAGGAAATGACAGCATCACTTCAACCAGTGCTTATACGGGACAATCTGTGGATCGTGCATTCAGGTAGGCAGAGTGAATTTCGTAAAATTCCTCCATGGTGCAACAGCAAACTACTTCTCCCAACAAATTTGGGATTGGCTGAAGGAAATTTTACTTTGTTACTTCCATAGTTCAAAAATAATTTAGGTCGCTCAATTCTTTGAACTGAATAATTGAACAAAATGATTTTCTCTTTACTGCCAGTGGAACCGGAGCAGCAATGGATATAGTCATCTCGAGTGTTCGAGCCTATGTTGGTGCGTTGAATAAACTTCTCGGATTCAATAACCGACTGAGAACTGAGGATCCTCCGGCAAAGGTCAGTGCCGTTTGGGGATGACGTGAAGTGATCGTCTTTTCTTGCCTTAGACCGTATTCCCATTCCCTTTCCCTGTCGCAGTGTGTGAAATTGTACTATTGTTTTTGAAGTTGAAATGTGAGAATTTTTATAGAATAACTGTGGGAACTGTTATTTATTCATTGAACATCGTACATATGCATAGTAAAAGGCCTTTTATAATCATGCTGTTACGTGAAATCACGTTAAGGCAGGCTAAATGTGAGCCAACTTACTTTGGCCGTTGAAGGGTAAATTGCAATAAACCATTCCTCGCACAATTCCATTACAGTGGCAGGCAAATGAGTGCATATTGAGAGCATGGTTGTCTAAATTTATTATTAATATTATTATTATTACTACTGCTACTACTACTACTACTTACAGATAATAAGGAAAGTAACTTATTTTGAGATTGTTTATTTCATATTAAGTCAATTATATATTTTGAAAGTTTGACCATCATAAAGCTAATAAATTTTCAAATCGCAAATTGTAAATTAGCTTAAAAATAAATTTATTATTATAATATCTAAAATTGAAAGTAGTGCTGAATTTGAATCGAGTATTTAACCAAAAAAATAAAAAATAAATAAAAATTTTCTACGAAATTTTAAATTTATAACAAATTAAATTTACAGCTTTTTAAGTATATGGTCTAGATCCATTTAACTGGGTAAGTTCTTCGTTCTATTTAAAAGCGGATTTGGCGATTTTTCCAGACGTGAAGCTCTTTCTTTTCACAAATGAGAGTATGATGGGCTGTTTGTAAAAAAGGTTAAACCCTAACCTTAAGGGTCCTTCACCACCCTTGTCTTGGAGTATCGTGAGCGAGGTAAATCGCAGGTTATGCCTTCAAGGGTACAGGGTGAAAGGCTACTTGTACACTTGCACTTACCCAAGAGCCAAATCCATATTTCAGGATTCGAACCCTTGACGCAGCAGTATCAAGCAAAACTGAATTTCTCCACCTTCCTCTTTTACCACTTGGAGATGTGTCCTGGAGGCTGTTTGTATGTTCTAGACAAAGATGAATAAAGGCTAGTTGCATTGACGTTTTGGAAAGGCATCGAAAGGAGTTTGAAGTCAAAGACTTGCAATTTAAATTTAAGGATGTTATTGATATAGATAGTAGGAATAAAAAGTCCACTCTATTTTTACTAGTTGTCAGATAAGTCATAGCTAGCAATCCAATCTCTGATAAGGGTTAGCATGGAAAGTAGCCTTGTTGTTTAAAATAAGTAACAAGGGCCTAGCGCTTTTGTTTTCTGGAAATATTCGCCTTGCTCTAGATTTGCACGCCTATGACTTCTTTTTTGACGAAATTCGTGCAACGGAATATCATAAATTTGAGACTTGCTACACCAAAAATACTCATCAAACTTTCAAAATATGTCACTAATTTTTATTTATTTGTTTATTTTTAATCATATATGGTTCTTGAATTCACAATTATTTCAATAAATTCACATTAATTTAATACTATCTTTAATACTAACACTAATATCATATGAGTTGATAGCATTTATAGGCATTAACCATTATTGCAATAGTGTAAGCTCAAATCAGGTATGTTAAGTTGTTCATCGACTCAACTCATCTGAAATACGAACCAAGCTAGATCTACTTGCCCTGATGCGAGTCATGGAACAAGCAAGCTACACTTTTCTCTCATGTGAAACGTTTGCAAACTTGCACGAGTTGGATTCTGAGCCTGCGATAGAATGTAAAAGTAGCTCTTAACATTTCATTAATGATCATTTGACCAACCGTGGATAATTTCACGTGATGTCAGCTATAGTCAAATTTTGAATTCAAATTTATGTATATTATTTTAGGGAAAATTGGAGCAGAGGTTCCAAACTTTTAAAATATTAGCAGACTTTTCCCAAACATTTAATTTGTTGCAATCGTCACTCCAAACCTTTCGAAAATACAGCAAAGTCCCTTTTGGACAGTTTTCATCCAAATATCTATTAGTTGACTAAGAAATTTGACTTTGACCATATTTTTAATATTTTTGAAAAGGTAAAATAGTAACTTTCCATTTATTACATTAAAATAACTTAGAAATTAAATTTTTCAAAAAATAAGAAATCAGAAAAAAAGGTCGGCTTCTTCCTCTCACCCCACCCCCACCTCCACGTCAAACCAAAATATTTTTTCCCCAATCAAATATTGCATACAAAAACTCCAAGAAACAACTGAGAATTCCTTTAATAAACCACCCGCCATGAATTCCAGCAGCAGCATTACTATCTGTCGTCTCATCGGTCGGCATAGAGTCGTTGTTTTGGCTGAGAGCCGGAGCATCTGCATCCTCCTCACTACCACTCTTAGCCTTAGACTTGGCTGGCGTTGGCGATGTTGGAGCCGGAGCAAGCGGCGTCTCCTTGAATAGTTCTTTTGGAAGCAAAATCTGATCAATTTTGAAAACAGCCAATGGATCTTCATCAATCAATGTCCCTTTAATAGTCGCTGTCACGACTTTAGTCTTCAGTTTCACGACTTCTCCATCGTTTTGTACTATAAAATTGTACTTATTGGCTCCTTCTGGAGCTAGAGTGTTCATCAATCCATTGCTGAATCTCAACATACTCAAAGATTGATATACAGGAACCCTATGAATTTTGGTTTGATGTGGGGGTAGGAGAAGAGGAAGAAGACGACATTTTCTCTTAATTTCTTATTTTTTTAATTTAATTTTTAGGTTATTTTAATGTAATAAATGAAAATTTACTATTTTACCCTTTCAAAAATATTAAAATAATGGTCAAAGTTAAATTTCTTAGTCAATTAACAGACATTTGGATGAAAACCTTCTAAAAGGGCCTCCGCTGCAATGTTTCTAAAGATTTGGGGTGATGATTGCAACAAATTAAAGGTTTGAAGGAAGTCCGCTAATATATTAAAGGTTTGGAGCCCCTGCTACAATTTTCTCATTATTTTATGGGGAATTTACATAAATGTCACTAAAATTGAAAATGCAAAAAAAAATTTGGACATTCACCAATTTCTTCCAAGAATGTCAATTTTTCCCTACAAAATGTCCACTTTACCCTTTAACACCTTTTTGGATCAATAAATGTTTGATTTGAATGCAATTAATGTTATGATATGATTAATTTATTTTTGCTTTAAGTTTAATATTGAAGATATGATATTATATTGTATAATAAGATTTTTTTTATTAAAAAAGTGGTGAAATCTTTACAAAATACACACACACATACGAATTGAAAGAGCTTCTTCTTCTTCATCATCTCCACTCCATCATCAACAAGGAAACACGGAAAGCCATTGACAAATTTGAAAGGTGAGGTAGTAGAAAAAAATTCATCTCATGTCATAGTTGACTACTTTAAATGTTCAATACAATATGATCATATTTAAATGAACCCTTTCAATCTATTATTCATTGATGTAGTTAATTTCTTGTATATTTTAGAAAGAAAAATTATACCAATATATATAGAAAATGTGAAGTATTCCATATATAATTCAACATTTAATGAAGCATTAAGTGATACCTTGTTCATTTCTAAAAAGATACAGTGATATTGTAGTTCATAATTTATTATGGCCTTTACCGTTTTCAATAAATTCGTCAAAAAGTGAAACGCATGGAATTTATCTTTCTCGAAAGTTATGGCAGTAGAACTGTCGAGCAGTATCTTGGAAACTGTCGGGTTAGATATTTTAACTGTCGAACTCGACATTTACCGACTGTCGGGATAGAAAATGTAATTGTCGATTTCGACACCTGAAAACTGATCATCTTTTATATCTTTGGTAGTACATGGATGTAAGTATTTTCGTGTGCCAATTTGATGTTATGAAATGACGACACATGAATGTGCAGAATTCTCACTTTTGCAGTCCCAACATTTCAGGTATGAGTCATGATTTCAGATTCATCGTGTCGCATGGAGGAAACTTCGTTCACTCAGATGATGAATGGAAGTGGAGAGGGGACAAAACCACTTCCATTTTAGTGTCGAGAAGTATTACCGTAGCAGAACTTGTGTTACGATTGAAGGAGAAACTTGGTATCGTTGAATCCCGCAATGCAATCGAATTGAAGTTCAAAGTCCCGAACTTGAATCTACCTCCGACAGAGATATGCGACGATGAGGATCTACAGTGGTACATATCTGTTCATAAGGAAACTGCACTCTGCATCACATATTTGGTATCCGAGCTCCTGATTGTTGGTATGGCAACAAATGCAAGCTGTGAAGGGAACTTGTTCGGCCCAACGGAATGTCCACTGAATGTACAACATGACGAGATGAATCATCAGCACAGTGTGTCGCAAATGGAACCACCCGAACCTCCAATTGAGCATATAGAGGCCGCAGCATCCGCCGAACACTTAGAGAACCCATTACATGGTACAGATCGTGCTATTATTGCTGAAATAGACGAGACAATGTCGTCAAATTCCAGACGTTCGTGCACAGATGAGTGGATTACAGCTGCAAATACATCGGTTCTCGCCGAGAAGCAAATATTCTTTACCAAGAAACAGTTGTACTCGAAGCTTCATGTACTTGCTTTGTAAGAGAAGTTCCAATTCCGGGTAAGTAGGTCAAGCTTAAAAATGTTAACAGTTGTCTGTGTGGATGATAATTGCAAGTGGATGCTACGTGCTTCTACTGTCAAGCAATCTGCAATCTTCATGATCAGTAAGTTCGTTGCAGTTCACACATATTCCCTTGATTTTCATCGTAACGCACATCGACATGCCACTAGTGCTGTAATTGCGGAGCACATTTTGGGAAAATTGGATACTCCATACCGATCATATCCGCCTACTCATATTGCACGTGATATGGAACGTGAGTTTGGTGTGAAAATCAGTTATAGCAAAGCACGTAGGGGGAAGCTCCGTGCCTTAAATATGCTACATGGGACACCAAGGGACAGTTTTCAGAAATTATCTTCGTACTGTCACGTCGTAGGAGAAAGTAACCCGGGGACCTTTACCCACATCGAAGTTGATTTTTGTAATAGGTTTTGTTACTTCTTCGTAGCTTTTGGTGCAAGCATTTGTGGATACATGCAGTACTTGAGACCCATTATTTGTGTCGATGGCAGTCACTTGAAAGGTCCATACAAAGGTACACTCCTAGTGGCAACTGCCCAAGATGGTAACAAACAGATTTATCCGTTGGCATGGGGGATCGTGGATGCTGAAACCAATAAATCGTGGAAGTGGTTTTTGTCGAACTTGAAAGACCTTATAGGGGATTCCGAAGAACTCGTGTTCGTTTCAGACAGGAAAAAGAGTATTCAGAAAGCTATTTCTCAGTTGTTTCCGTCGTCTCGGCATGGTTGTTGTATATGGCATATGGAAAAGAACCTAATACAGCGGTATAACAAAGCAAGCCTATTATTTCTATTCAAACGAGCTGCTACAACTTTTCGGGTCGAGGACTTCGAACGACTCATGGGACAGATTCGTAGAGTGAACAAAAGAGCGCACGGGTACTTAGAGCGAGCGGGATATTCATTTTGGTCCAGAGCACTATTTATTGGACACCGTTACAATATTATGACAAACAACAATGCAGAGTCGTTGAACTCGATGTTGAGAGAAGCCCGGTCGTTACCAATAACCTGCTTGGTTGAACACATTCGGAGTACATTCAGAAGTGATTTTACGAACGTCGAGCAAATGCGGAAGAATGCAGTACCTTATTGACACCAAGGATGGAGAACGAGCTACGGACGACTTTCGAAAATGGAACTAGGCTTCGAGCCCATGTCTTGACAAACAACTTGACGCAAGTTGGAATATCCAACGACACGGACATAGTTGACTTGTCCGAAGAAACCTGCACATGTCGTTAGTTCCAACTAAACCGTATGCCATGTGTTCATGCAAGTCGTGCTGCTTGCTTTAGAGGGAAGACGTTGTACAAGCTTTGCTCCCGTTATTATTCATCGGACTACTGGAAGGGTGCCTACAGCGAAACTATATATCCTGTTCCGAGGGAAGTGGATTGGGTTGTTCCGAACTTAATTACATGTACTCCTATTTTCCCACCACTCGTACGTCGTCCTCCAGGTAGACCACCAACCCGCCGTAAGCGTTCTAGGTATGCGTATGCATGGTCTACGAGAAAATGTACCTGTTGAGGTAGAGTTGGTCATAATCGGACCACGTGTTCAAACCCCCGTGTATCACATGCTCCTTAAAGAATTGCAAGTTAATAAACATTGTATGTTAATTATTCCGTACTACATCGAACATTATGAAGTTATGATTTACAGTTTGTGATCATTAATGTTCTTGCATGTTGCGCATCCTGTTGTGCACATAAAAATTTCACTCTCTATCCAGCATGTAGTAAACATCCCGCCCAGTTCAAATGTCGATCCCGATAGATGTGTTACTTATTCTCGACAGTTAACGGAACCTTGCACTGCACTCACGATTTGCGTCACACATACATGTTGTGACCTCTAAGCACGAGAACGGAAAATGTTTGATACTGTACATATATTTTTTTTTTCCATTTCGAAACGCAATCTTCTATCCCCCTACAGATTTACTATCATTAGCATCATCTTAAATCGAAATTAAAGGAAGTGCAAAAAACAATCTTGAATCCCGAAGAAATGTACAATCATTTGCGTCATCGTAAATCATGGATTAAAGTTAGTCCATGATACACACCTTTCACAATAGCCGTTTTACATACTGCAAAATACATAACCATTTTTGTACATATTATCCTTACTGCCCGACAGTTGACATGTCGTACACGACAGATATTCTCAGTAATTCTCGACAGTTCGACCGAAAAACGCAAAATACATGACACGAATTGCATCTTAGGGACATGTTCACGTGGACTTTTTGGTATTGTCTTAACTAAAGTCATCCCTACAAAATACCTTACTATACAGTACTTATTCACTACATTCCATGGGTGTCACTTTAGTCGTCGTCCACAACTGAACCACCGTCCCCGCTATCCTCACCTAACTCGTCGGAAGAGATGATAATTACCGCATTTGGGGGATCATATGCCATCCAGTCGTCCTCATCGTCGGAATCCTCCTCGTATCCGGCATCTAGCTCGAACTCCTCATTGAGGACTCCATTCGGTGATTGCGCACCCTCGTTGGAAACAACTTCTAAGTTGGGAAAAGGAACAGGGGAAATGGCTCCCCTCCCAATACGAGGGTTAACTTCCTCCTCATCTGACGAAATATAAATTGGAAAAAGCGGAGATGAACCAAGAACTGGCAGTGGCTCGTTCATGTTCAACGGTTCGTTGCTTCCTGTGGAAGAACTCATTACGTGAACGTATAGTAGTACTGAAGGAATGATAAGTGTCTGTGAGAAGGTGAATGGGTGACAATGGTCTTGAAGGAACTTGTTTGTAAGTGAGAATGAAGTTCCACAGTATTTATAAGCTAATTGAAGGGGAAACAATTATGGTCTCCATCTACCCAACCACCAAGTCCAATCTCCTTGTAAATTTGAAATGCACTTGGTGTGATGGTTGAATAAATGAAGTGTACCTTTATCCCCCATTTCCCCATACTTAGTACAATGTTAAACACTCTTTAATCATGTGC